GGAAACAAGGCGTAGCTGTGCGTAGGCGGCTCTCCGCCTTCCTAGGCAAGACTTGGAACGGCCCAACCACGGGATCTCCACCCAGGGGAGACCAACGGGCCTCCTGAGTCGATCAGACGGCTCAGGCGAATACCGAGAGACAGGTAGGGAGCAGAGGGACGCCCCATGTGGGCCATGCTGACTCCGTCATGAACGACAAGCGTGGATCCCGGTCGAACATATCCGATAGGAGCTCCTCAAACCCCATTGCTCGAGTCATCAAGGTAACTATATCAATCCCCCTTACTTTATTTGATTTTCTAAATGCATAAACATTCATTCATCCATTCTCATACGAGCATTCACACATTCATCCATGCACGCATTCATTCATCCCATACATCCAAAGCATCGCATATGCAGTTAAATGCATCACAACGCTCCGTGTTGTGTCATGAAGCGGCAGTTGCCTCATTCAACATGAGCAACGACCGACCGGGGTTCGAAGGCCGGCCCACGAAGGGCTCGAGGCAGCCTCGTGTCAAACAGAGCCAGGGGAGAAAACACAGATGAGCCCCAGCGGCCCTCGCCTAGTTTGCTCCGAAGCAGACAGGGTCATCTCAACCTTATCGTTCGATCCTAACCTTGATCCATGCCCACATAATCTCCATCGAGTTGAGGCCAGCGGGCCACCCGGGTCGATCTTCGGAACCACCCAGGCATCTGCCGAGATGCGGGTTAAGGAGCAGTGGAATGCCACATGAGGGCTATGCCAACCCCGTCACGAATGATGGACCCGGATTCCACTCGAACATGCCAGTTAGCGAGCTCACCGAGCACGTCACTTGAGCCATCGAGGAAAGCGACGTTAGCTCAGCCCCTCCGGTTGCGAAAACCTAGGATAGGGTAACACACGAAACTCAACCGACCCCTACTAAGCCTAACGGGGCTCAGGACACTCTGACTCGCCCGATCCCTCGGCTCGCTCGACGCCTGGATCCGTGACTCCGACTTGCCCGATCCCTTGGCTCACTCGATGCCCGAATCCGTGACTCCAACTCGCTCGATCCCTGGCTCGACCGACGCCTAGATCCATGACTCCGACTCACCCGATCCCTTGGCTCGCCCGACACCTAGATATGTGACTCTGACTCGCCCGATCCCTTGGCTCGCCCGACGCCTGGATCCGCGACTCCAACTCGCCTGATCCCTCAGCACACCCGACGTCTGGATCCATGACTTCGACTCGCCCGATCCCTCGGCTACGCCCGGCGGCTGGATCTATGAGTCCATCTCGCCCGATCCCTCAGCTGTCCCTCGACTGCACCCGACACCTGGATCCGTGACTCCGACTCGGCCAAACCCTCGGCGCACTCGACGCCCTCGTTGATGACTCCGTCTTGCCCAGCCCCTCAGCCACGCCCAAATTCCTAGGACCACGCTCTCGGTAACGATGGGTCAAAAACTGGAAAGAGGAGCCTACGCCCACCGAAAAGCACACATACACGCTCGCTGACAAAACCCCCCAGGCGATTCTGCCCGAATCACCCAGGGGCTACACCCGCGGGTGCGCTCGCGCGCACCAGCTATTGAAATGAAAAATTCCCTCGCTGGCGACACGAAAACCCCCCGGACGATTCTACCCGAATCACCCGGGGGCTCGGGGGCTACACCCGCGGGTGCGCTCGCGCGCACCCGTCGTCAAACCAAAAATCCCCCAAATGATTCTACCTGAATTGCCCGGGGGCTCGGGGGCTCCTGTCGGGCATAAACCGGGGGTCCCTCATGGACCTGCTTCCCAGCAAAAGCTCGGCCCAGCAAATAACGTTGTGAACGACGCGCAACTCCTGGGCCGGCCCAAAATACCTAAACGATAGGCCAGAAGGGCGATCCGGTCTCTGACTCCGGCCCATCTCTTCGACCGGAAGGCCTGGCTAAGGAGGAATGACGCTCGCTTCCGACTCTGGCCCGCCTCTCTGACCGGAAGGTCTCGCTTCCGACTCCGGTCCGCCTTTTCGACCAGAAGGCCTGGCCGAGGAGGAACGGCGCTCGCTTCCAACTCCGGCCCGCCTCTCCGACCGGGAGGCCTGGCCGAAGAGGAACGACGCTCGCTTCCGACTCCGACCCGCTTCAACGACTGGAAGGCCTGGCCAACGCCGCTTCCGACTCCGACCCGCATCTCCAACCAGGAATGCACCGAACCTCTGCTTACAGCTCTTCTCCGACTGGCGCAGTCGGAGCCGACTGGGACCAGCCGACCGGGGACGCCCGCTCGGTGAGGACCTAGGAAACGGGCGAAGCAAGTAAGGCAGGGCGCTCAAGTCAACCGTAATACCAAGAACGGCTATACACATGCAGGACAGTACCGACAGGGCATGTCAGAAGGGTGCCCTGCAACCTTCCAGGCATGTCAGAACCCAAGCAGTGTTATAGACGCCGACGTTTGCCACTACAGTGTTGTGGACGCCATCAATTCCCATACTAGGCGGACACGGTAAAACCCCCCACATGCCTCTGGGCATCGACGGTGTTGTGGGCGCCGTCATTTGCCATACATGTTGAATTCGATAAAACCTCCCACATGCATCCGACATCAACAGAATTGTGGGCGCCTACAATCATCTTGTACCCGACGGCGTGTGCAACAAGACTTAGTAGCGTACGTACTCTCTCTCACACTTGTAAGGCCATCCCCTTCATCTATAAAAGGGGATGCGCTCTCCCCCAAGACAATATAGAGAACTCAAACACACACGAACGATTCGAACAACCAACGATCGATTCACTCGCTGCTAGCTTTAGACACTCTAAAGCTACACAGAGCACCCGCTCGAACACTTAGCGCACATAGGAGCTCCCGTCACTCTCGGTCCTTCGACCCGGAGTCCGACCGGACCTCTTGCACCCCCCATCTTTCTCCCTCTCGTTTGTAACCCCACTGCAAACTTCGAGCACCTGGGCTCAAGAATAAAGTCATTGACCGACTCAGACTGGACGTAGGACACGTTGCCTGAACCAGTATAAACCCTGTATCATTGAGTGCTAGGCCACATCCGATCACAACGTATGGCAAAATTACAAATATTTACGTGTTGGTCACTTTCTGCACCGACATTACTATTACATATATTAGAATGATGTACGGGGTATTGATTATGATGAGGGGTTTGAGAATTCGTCGCTGATAATGAGTGTGTATATTATGCAATTTTTCATTCTGAACCCTGTCTCAATGTAGGAATTTCCTCTATGGTTTGCGTGCGTTTGGTCGAAGCGACTGGAAGAACATCTCCAAGCACTTCGTTACCACAAGGACACCAGTGCAAATCTCTAGCCACGCCCAAAAGTATTTCTGCAGGATGGAGAACACTACCAGGAGGCAGCGCAGCAGCATCAACGACGTTGGCCTCTGCGATGATGAGCCCAGGGTGCAAACTAATCCTTCAAGCCTAGAGGGGTTCACCTTCACCGGTGGAACCTACAACTCAAACCACTATGGCTCCAGCAGCCAATTTGTTGCCATGAGTAACCTGGGCAAGCAGATGTGGTTTCCATCCTTATGTTGTACTGGCCAGGCAAGCAGCAGCAGTAACCAAGCCACTACCTTAAACAGAGGTGGGGCTGGTGGTTCTTGTGTGGCTCCAAAGGTGGAGGGGGGTGGGAGCAAGACAAAACTGACTAGTGATCAAGAGGGAGGTTTTCTTGTTTAGTCCATCATATACATGCGGATTAAGTGCTATGTTCTATAGTAGGGATGGAACAATTTCATCAGTGAAACTTTTGTGTTACTATTATATGTATGTGGTCGTGTTATAGTGTGATGCTTTTGCTTTGTGCTCTTTGCTTCGTACATCGTCTGTCTCTATGAGGATTAAAAATAAAGATATGTTTCGATATTTAAGGGCTCATTTGGATCAATCATTTTTTATGGGGATTGGAGGGAATTAAAGACGAAATGGACGTATTGTAAAGCAGGTTAGTGTACTTCATCATCGAACAAGAAGAAAATGTTAATAAAATGTAGTAGGCAAACGACATATATTCATGTGTAAAACCTTGATTAAGAACTATATATATATACACGCATGCATGCAGTCAGCGTAATAATTGCATAACCGAGCATGGTAAGGAGATTTTCAATTGCCACATATTGACTAATGTCGTCTATAACTCTATATACGATGAGCCAATTAATAAGCTTAGAAAAAGAAAAAAAGTATGCCAATCTACCGTAATGGCCATCTTCGACCCCAACAAATTTAAAACGTGACCACGGCAGCGACAGCCCAGCCCACAAGTTGCACAGGCCAGCAAGCGGGCAAGGCACAAGCCCAGTACGTGGACGTGGTGTCTTGGACTACAGTAAGGGTTGTCCATTCCGTTCGTATGAGATTTCTTTTGATTATATGAGATCTAAGAGTTTTCTTTTGATTTTTTTTTCATATTTTTTCATATGGTTAGCATGTATATATTCTGAATGCAAAAGATTGTGGTAGTGTTTCTACTTCTCATTGGCCCAAAGCCTAATTATTGATTGGCTTCCAAAATTTGCCAAACCAAAGATTTAGTAAACCATAATTTTAACTATTATTTGGTTGACCACAAAAACTTACCAACCTCTCACGGCTCGCCAAATCCATAACAACTTTTTTACCTAACTGACTAGCCAAATCTTTGGCATTGGCAAATTTTGATCACGAACCAGACCCTCATTGCAGTAAGTCGTCGGGACCCTCAAGAACATATGGAAGTGTATCAAACACCAACTCTCTAGGTATGGTGTTATCGAATGATATGTTGCACCACACCTAGAATGCGCCAATACATCATATCATTCGATTCATAAACTCACGCTCACAACACAGATGGTAAGCAAACAGTTTTCTGGGGGGCCTGAGGCTGAATAAAAATCTGAGATAATGTTAAAAACTTGCATCTCAAAGCAAACGTAAAAACGTAGCTTCGATCATCCATACAGTAGTGTTACAAACAACTTGTATTCATATATTTTTGCATATAGCTTAAGCATAGTAGTTCAAGCTTGACTTTTTCTTCGCCTGGACCTGTACGATTCCTTCATTGAAGTCCTCGTGAGTTACCTGTGCAAGCAAACATCAGGTTAGGAAATCACAATCATCACAAAAACATAAATAAATAAATAAATAAGTCAACAATCAACCTACAGATGTCATCCTCCATCTATCGATGCAAGGGATTGTGGTGTTACCACATTCGCAAAGCAAATATAATGGAATTGTGCATATGGAGGAGCGGAAGGCTCACCTCTGTAGCATCGCGCCGTAGAGCGAGCATACCAGCTTCTACACAAACTGCCTTTAGCTGTGCTCCGTTAAAGTCATCTGTTGAGCGAGCCAATTCTTCAAAGTTGACATCGGGATTTACATTCATTTTTCTTGAATGAATCTACAGAGCACCATGCAGAACACATTAGTTGTGGTAAATGGCCTACTGAGTAAAGCAAAAACACCATTCACTGTCAAACTTCAGCAAATTGAACATAAGTTGTGGAGACCAACTTGCAAGATTCTAGCTCTTGCTTCTTCAGATGGGTGAGGGAACTCAATCTTTCGGTCCAACCGTCCAGATCGCATCAGAGCAGGGTCAAGGATGTCGGCACGGTTCGTTGCAGCTATGACCTTTATTCTCTCATCGCTGCTGAATCCATCCAGTTGATTCAGTAATTCCAACATAGTTCGCTGAACTTCTCTATCACCACTAACTTCACTGTACCAAGAGAACAAAATTATGGAGCATACATCAGATATGCTTCTTCGCAATAAGAATGATTTGTTTACACTAAATTGAAACACAAAAAGCGTCCTACTTTATGTGATCCTGTACAGGCGATTAACATTTTCATCTCATAAAGAGTATCATCAGCCAAAATAAGAATAAAACCGTGCAAGAGCTGAAAATGTCATAAAAGACATACCTATCAAAACGCTTGGTACCAATAGCATCTATCTCATCAATAAATATAATACAAGGAGCTTTCTCTTTGGCAAGCTGGAATGCATCCCGGACAAGCTTTGCTCCATCGCCAATAAACATCTGAACCACCAAGAACATCATTACTACTGTACTCGAATGTATAAACTATGCTCAAGATAACATCAGAGTAAAACAGATTTTGGATGGCAGAGCAATATCTCCAATGTGTCTTGAATGAAAATGGACCAGATGGTCAGTGTTAGTCATGCAATCAGAACAATATTTTAGTTAAACCGCTAAACCATTCAACTTTTATTTCCAAATCCAATTATTCAATATACAGATAACAAATGATATACAAAATCCTGACAATTTATAAGTGTGTCGCATAACTGACTGAACTTCAACAGAGAAACTTTGGACTGACAAACTCCATAATAACAGAAAGATGAAATCCGTAGATCCATTTCCTCAACTGTAAAAATATGGTATGAACAAAAAATTTACTAAGACATTCAGGAACACACTAGCCCTAGACGTAACGAAAAACTATGTTCAGAAGGTAGAAAGCACCAAGACATTCCAAACTTGCTTCTGAGAACCTTGGCATAAGGAAATATTGCTTTAAGACCAATGCTACGGTACAGGTGACAACTGACACAAAACAAAATAACAGCACTTTCTGAAATTTAAACTGAAAAGAAGAAACAGAAAAATTATTCATGTACATAAAAAAAGGATATTAACCAGGATGATGCGATGAAAAAATGAAGCTATGGCAGAAAGGCAACAATAACTCGAGGAAGGAACAAAGAGCAACAGAAGTTGCAGTATAAATATGGTAACATGAAATGGAGCAGCAATGTACCACAGGATTCAAATCAGAAAAAATTATCTTATCATTGAAAAGACACACAGCGATATAACAAACACAAAAAAAGGAAAACAAAGCTTCTCAGGTAAACTGATTACCTGCACAAGTTGTGGACCAGCTAATTTCAGAAACGTTGCATTCGTCTGTGCAGCACATGCACGAGCCATGAGTGTCTTGCCAGTTCCTGGTGGTCCATACAAAAGAACTCCTTTTGGAGGTCGGATGCCCAACTTCTGGAACCGGTCTTTATGTGTCATGGGCAGTACAATTGCCTCCACAAGCTCTTGAATCTAAATTCAATCAAATAAGATTCAAAGGATACAAGTAACAGATAAGCAACCGGACATTATTCATCTCTTATATGGAAGACTGATGGAACTTGCTCAGCTATTCCCTAAAAAGCAAAATTGACTCCATTTGATATATAGGGAACTAACAAAGTTTCAGCATTCACTCGGTACAATACCTGCTTTTCAAGACCTCCAATGTCATTATAATCTTCGGTGGGCTTTTCATCCACCTCCATTGCCTTCACTCGAGAATCATACTCTGATGGCAATGTATCTAATATAAGGTAGCTATCTTTATTTACTCCAACCAGATCACCCGGCTTTAGCTTGTCAGGGTCCACTAGCCCAACAACAGGAAGGAATATAGTCTGCAATCATCAAGGCCATAAACAAAGATTTTGCAGCAGTGAGTTTGATTCCCTAAACTCAAGACCATACATAAAAGGTAGTTCATAAAATGTTTCATTGCTTTAAATTTTAAGTATCGAACATGATTCGACATGAGATGTGGAAGAATGAGAATTAAGACTCCCACACCTGCAAGGCCAGGCAGGTGAACACAGAAGAAAAGATATTGAATTACTGATTTGGAGCACAATGTGACAGCAGGACAAGCATATTACAGAACTGTTAAAAAAATTAGCCAATTATGACTGCTTCAACATATTTCTGCTTTGCAGTTATATACAATTCATTACTCGCTTTGCAGTTATATACGATTTGTTACTAGAATAATCTGTACATCAGAACCATTACAACATAAAGTTGTTACTAGGGTCAGACATGGCAATCCATCTATACCTAATAAGTTATGATTTTTAAAGAAAATTTGACTATCTGGATCAAAAGTAGTACAAACATAACCAAATGTCTTATATGACTAATTGTCTTGGGTAGCCAACACATACCTTTGAGGCCTTGACTACCTTTTTTTCAGATGTGTTAGCAAAAACAAAATGTTGGAAGTACTTATGATATAGAATCTAATCCCATTATATTTTCATGTGATAAATCTTCATACTGTGTGCATATTAGTGGTCAAATATTTAGAAGGTGGACTGCACACAGCATATGGACATACACAGAAAAAAAAAGAACAGCAAAAGAAATGACCCTGATGATCAGAGAATAGATTGCTCACTTGTCTTGTGGAGGTCTTCAGTACAACACATTTTCCTTTCCTTTGTGAGTCTAAATCAATGTTAGCACCATCCTCCTCAGCTTCATCCTCAGGGTTCATTTCCAAGATCTAAAACAGTTGAGAAAAAGGACAAACCATATGAGTAACCCATAAACAAAAGAAACAATGTACATACACCCTGCCTAACAAGTACCGAATGACAAGGAAATAAAATTTTAGTTATCATCATCTCCAAAGGATGAGGAGTGCAGCACAGTAATCTACTAGAATACATGTCACAGTTCATTTAAGACGTGAGATACTTGAATGCTCCATAGATCACATATCTATAAAACCATGAAGTCTTCAAAATTTATTATTGTACAGGGATTAATAGACTTTGGAAATTTTGAAAGCTTAGGTAGATGAAACAAACCAGTTATCAAGTTCCAAGTTTCTGAATGTCTAGATTCCTAACCAGATCACAGTTACTCAAATTAAAGAATCAATCACCGCTATACTGCTACTACCCTAACTAATTTGAAGTGGCTGAGCAAGAGGCATGTGTGTTCTGTTCCGAATTAAGTGCAGTGCAGCCTTGGTGAATATAAAGATTTAATCTAACATGAATTATACGGGGACAAACACAATATAATAGCACAAGCAGTTCTATAAGTATGCTATCACACCAAATCATGTGATAATAGACCAAATCATTTTCACTCATTCACTTCCCTGGCCTCAAATTAATCCAAGATAACAACCACTTGCAGGGTATTTACAGAAGGGAATTTATAGAATGGAAGGAAACTGAACCTCAACGATGTTGCCGACGAGGTAGGGCAGCTGCTTGTTGAGCTTAATTTTCTCCTGGTTTTCCTTAATCTTCTCCTTGAACGACTCCAACTCCAGGTTCGTCCGCTGCAACTCGTCCTGGGTGCCGCCGGAGAAAAAACAAACAAACCCCACGAATCAGACGCAAAACCCTAACGCCGAACGAACGAGGATTACGAAGCCGCGGGGACAGACCACGGGGATCTGATCTAGGACTGGGCTCGCTCACCTTGAGGACGCGGATCTCGTTGTCGAGGAGGCGGGAGGCCCGGATGATGTCCTCCGTGGACATGGAGGTGAGCTGGTCGTCCTCCGCGTCGTCCACGGCCATCGCCGCCGCCGGGGCCGGGGCGCCGGATGACGACATCGCCGGCGGAGTAGGGTTTCGGAGTTGGACCTGTCGACGAGAAGACGGGAGTAGCGAGAAGGAGGGAGTTTGGTTTGTTCTGCGTTTTTCTTTCGCGAGCCAAAGTGTGGCTGTCTACTCCTCCGTATATAACAAGTTTTTTTTTTTACAACAAGCACTTTTATTACGGGGAATTTTTTTGCGTGTCATTAAAAAAAGATCTCAATGCTCTTGTCTCCCTAAAAAAGTTCAGCGGTCTTTAGCGTCACTGTTTCAACTTTTTTTCCCTCCATGCTTTTGGACTATAACGTCGTCAAACTGCAGGTGTGAAAAGTCGAAAATACCCTTAAGTCTAAATATGTCATTAATTTTTTTTGAGCATCTTAACGATTTCAAATAAAAAAACTCAAAACTAGAAAGTTGTAGATCTCGTCGAGATCTATAATTTTCATATAAAATTATCTTCATTTAATTTCGCAAAAAAATATAATTTGATATAATTAATATATCTTAGAAGATTAATCATCTTATCCCGCAAAAACATCTCGAAGCGTGTTCTCTGTCTTCCTTGCAGATCGGCGCTCCTCTCCACGCTAGGCCACCACAGCTCGCCGGCGCTCCGCTTCCCGCTACCGCAACATCTTATTATTTGTAGTAAATGGAATACGGAGTACTATTTATGATAGTTCCAAATAAATAATATTAGATCTCATTAAATGTATTTTTATAATATGTTTATTAAAGTTATACATGTTGATAGTATTTTAATTTAGTAATTTAAAATGGTTTGGTTTAGACCAAACATAGATTAATTGTATTTTTTTAGAATGGAGGTAGTACTCTATTTTCTTTCTTTTTATCTTTATTAGATATATATACCTGTGCGTTGCACCGGAGTCACGAATTTTTGTCCAGTCTACAACGAGGCATGTGGCTTACGACTTAGACAAACATTTTATCTACACATCTAATTACATACAAAATATAAAGCTCATTTAATGATCTTTATCACCTATATCATGTAGATCTAGTTTGTAAGGAAAATGGACCATTGGCCCATTTACTTTGGATTTTGGTGTTTGATGTTCAACACAACCAAATTGGACTAATAAATTTGCAAGTGGTTGTTTTGTAGTTCAATAGGGTGCAAGACGTGACTTGGACGAAGGCGACGTGATGATCCGATGATCAACACCTCAAGCAAGACCTTTGGAGCATAAGAGAAGATCCAAGATATCAAGCAAAGTCCAAACACGAAGATAGGAACCAAGCCGTACGCAAGATCGCGAAGAGACGAGCTCGCAGAGGCGACTGGACTCTGGACCGGACGCTGGAAGCGCGACCGGACACCGGACCGGTGGCTCAGCAGACAGGCGACCGGACGCAGGGCATCGGCGTCCGATCGAGTACAGAGAGGTTCCAGGCGCGCGAAACTACGACCGGACGCGTCCGGTGGCAGGCGACCGGACGCTGGCAACGTCCGATCGGTAGTTCGCGGCTGCAACGGTCGGGACGACCGGACGCGTCCGGTCAGGACGATTCAGCGTCCGGTCAGTAGCAGTTTCACGGGAATTCGACCCCAACGGCTACTTTCTCAGTGGGGCTTATAAATACAACCCCAACCGGCCATTTGAAATAAGTGGAGCTGAGGAAACATATCTAGGGTGTTGATACACCATTTTAGTGATCTCCACTTGTATAGTGCTTAGTGTTTCATCAGGTGATTAGCATAAGTGCTTTGCGAAGTGCTTAGGTTGATTAGACCACCGCTTATGCGCTTGCTCTAGGTGTATGCCTAGTGTTTAGTGAGGTTTGCATACCTCTTACCACCCCGTGCTTGCGAGCACAAGAGTTGTACATCGGAGGGGCTTGAAGTCTTGCGAGATCGCACCAACCGCGTTTGTGGTGCGGCCGCCACCGTGTACCGAAGGGAACAAGGCTCGTAGTGTTTCGGCCGAAAGATTGACAGTGAAGACGGTGGGGAGCATCCGGGAGAGGCTTGCCGGAAGGCACGTCGGAGACCCACTTGCGCTTGGGGAAGGCCCGAGGCTATCCACGGAGTTACCCGACCGGGAGCTTGGCCCTTGCGAGGAATTCCTTGCAAGGGGCTCCAACGAGGATTAGGGAGAAGCTTGCGCGCTTCTCGATACCTCGGTAAAAATACCGGAGTCGTCGACGGGAGTTTGCATATCTCTACCTTGCTCTTTAAGCTTCCGCATTTACATTGATCATATTATTATCATCTGCGGTAGAGATAGCAACACACTAGCAAAACCGTAGTTGCACATCTAGATAGATTATCTTTTGCATAGGTTTTGCTAGAAGTAGAAAAAGAGACCATAGTCTAGAGTTAGATTTTTAAGTTGCCTAATTCACCCCCCCTCTTAGGCGTCCACGTGTCCTTCATAGTTTATATAAACATAATATTTGTGACTTATTATTGATTTTATAAGTTTATAAACTGATTTGGTCATATTTTTTTTAAAACAATAAAAAGGCTATTAAATAATTTTTCATTGCAATCATAACTATTTTCAAATGTATTTATTCAGGTCTTTCCTATTTTTTATTTTAGTGCCCGCCCTGGAGACGTTGTTCTAGGCCCAAAATCAAATGAGCCCGTCCCTAGACATGATACTGTATACTACTACAATTCTTAACTGCTAATAATAGTGTGGCCCAAAAATGCAACACAGAAGACGTTCGCATGATTCTATATTTCTGCCTTAGTACCAGACTCGGAGTTCGGATTTTTCACGTGGGGGCGCGCGCTCGGAGTTTCACGGAGTTTGCAGAGGGGCGCGCACACGAAATTTCGTTTGATGAAAGTGCTCCATATTTTTTAGGTGGTACTAGACTAGATTATTGCTTAGACGTGTCAATGCAATGGAGCTCCGTCACAATTCTTACCATGAATTCTCTATAGAATATGGTTGAGAGAAAGTCTAAACTTTCAAATAGCCAAATGCAACCCTTTGGCCCACAATCACCGCCATGCTAGCAACCAGAGGGGTGGGAACAATCGAGGGCTAACTAATTTAGTGTCATACCTATACCTATACAGGTGCACATGTTTACTAAAAAAAAGATTATACTACTAGACAAAAGACTTATTCAGCAACATGTATAGAGATGCATATATGATGATCATGCATGAAAATCACCTTCGCCTCCACTCTGATTCCACCTCCGCTCACAATGAACCTACACCTAAGCATATAAGCATCTCAAAAAATATACCTCTATTTGATTCTTTGTTTATATCCATAATACCAAGAATAAATTCAAAGAAACTCCCCAGGATCTCCTTTATTTCGAATAGTTTTTCTAGAACGTGTTCCCTATGATGTAGCCAACTTGATATGCTTGATTGTTCGAGTGTGTGGCAGAACCACCCGAAATAGCGTACTTACGAAGGCGCTTGTCTTCCATCAGACACTAAGCACCTCGAAAGTAACTACAGCGAGCGGTGTCCGTCGAGCACACCCCAAGGGAGAACCCGAAAGATCCACATTTTTCCAAGGATCCAATAATGAAAACGAGTTACAACACAAGTCTATCTCATACATTAGAGTTTCTTGAAAAGTACATTATTACAATACCAAATATAGAGTACGGAATGATAAACAATGAATATTAAAAGATAACATCTAGCGATAAGATAACGAGGATTCCGTCAGAGCCCACCAGATGGATCCTCCACACAAGGAACTCCTCAAGCGTCACACCTGTGCAGGGTAAATAAACCACAGTACACAATGTACTCATAAGACTTATCCGACGGTGGGAATACTTTCCCGACTCCAAGGAATATGCTAGGCTTTATGGTTTGCTTTGGTTCTCTTTTAGCAAAAAGCAATACTAATAGTGAGTCCTTATTGATACATTATTATCATCGGCCGTATTAAGTTTTCATCTAATCAATCTATATAAGCTGTTCTACTTTCAAGCAAGAGTTGAGCAATCGGTTCCATTTCTTCTCCTTTCAACTTTCGGTTCTTACTACGATTAAAACCGCAGACAAGCCGTCACCGGGATAACCCGGCGATTCAGAATCAATGTGCCCACTTGGGGGTGCCCGAAGACCTACGCCCGCTTGTACCCCGAGCACAAGCAGGACTAACCCACCACTCTCTGTCCCGGTGTCCAGGTCCCGTCAAACTTGGACTCAAGCCCCCACATCCCGAGTCCCGGACTCGGTCTTGTGCAAGGACCTCCACCACCTCCTCTTCCCATCGATCGGTCCGGAAAGAGCCGGATCCGCGACAAGAGAGAGCAACAAGCCTTCCCTCGCCCATACCCAAGTATGTGCTCGGGACAATAATCTGTGACTTGCCTAGAGTCATATGCAACGACCGGTCCTTAATCGACACAGAGGCGGGGAAAAAGTGTAACAGGGCTATGCCACTGTTGGCATGAGACACAACCCCTCACACCCACCAAGCCAAATCCACATCCCCGTCCGGTCACCATTTTCCTTTCCATTATTTCATCATGATATCATAGTTTAATCACCTATTTGCGAGTAACGACAAAGTTACTCACGCTACTGACATCCCCGAGCATAGCGACTACTCGACACTGTACTAGTAGGACTCATGGTGGATATATTTATGCATGTAGCTTCCATAAAATGCCCGTAACGTAAATGCATATCATATAAATATATTCGAGATCATTTAAAAATAGGGGTTATGCACCGGGGCTTGCCTTTTGGGCGGTAGCGGTGTCGACAAAAAAGTCGATGACGGGTGGCTCGGGCGCGTCTCCTCGCACGAGGATCTCCTCGTACTCTTCGATGACTTCGTCGTACTCACCTTTCGCCCGAATGTCACGATCTCCAATGGCTCGTCCTCTATATGCATGCAAAGATGATGATGCAATAATTAATATATAGGCAACATAACTCTTAAAATAAGAATACATCTACCAAGCTACTAAGCTAACTCTAATGACTAATACATAAAGTTACCTATTATTCCCACTAAACAAGTATGAAACATTTCATGTATTATCTTAGC